AAGCCCTAAACCCTAAACCCAAGCGCCTCATTCCCAGGTGGGAGGGCGTCGGACCGGCAGCAATATGCACAAGGCCAGGCCCATGTGTTGACTGGAGACTACCAGGTTCCCTTTTCAAGTGGGTTTAGGACGTAGTATAGGGTTTAGGGTTTAGGGTTTAGGGTTACCATAATGGGTATATGTAGTAAATAATAAGGTTTCCCCAATATAGTAACTCAATTTAACTTCCTTAACAGCAACCCAGTAGAGTCCACAGTTCAGGTTTCCCTAAACTCCTAAACCTTAGACGATAAACTTCAGAGTTTCAGGTTCTGGGTTTCTTAGAGTGGTGAGTGCCTGTTTGGAGACCCTTGCCTTCAAGCCAGGGTCTAGGGATAAGGGGATTAGGGGTGTAGGGGCTTGGTGTTAAGGGTTTAGGGCTTAGGGTTTAGGGCCTAAACCCTAAACCCTAAACGCCAATGCGGAAGGCTGGATCTTCCAAAGAATGGTTTCCCAACATCAGCACAAATACTGAGAGGTGTGTATCGTAGCGGCTGCTAAGATACCCCAACCCCCAAAGTAGGGGGGACCCCAATTGGTGGAACCACCTAAACAAGCCTAAGCCCTAAAAGCTGAACCCTAACTGGCCCTAACACTTAATCCATGCATCGCCTGTCATCATCTGACTTCACAACCTGGTTTCAGGGGTCCCAGTTCAGAACCCTAAACCCTAAACCCCAAAAACCCTAGGGGTTGGGACTTTGTTTGGCTTCAGAAAAAGGATCCCATCGAGCCAAACCCTACCCAGGACCCAAAATTAGAAATCCCCTGCAATGTAGGGGCCTAGGTGTAGGGTTCAGGGTTTCGGGTTCAGGGCTTAGGGTTCAGGGTTTAGGGTCCAGGGTTTAGGGGTTTAGGGTCCAGGGTTTAGGGGTTTAGGGTTCAGGGGTTCAGGGTTTCAATGTAATGGCACGAGGTTCCCATGTATAGTTGTGGTACAGGGTACTTGGATGATCTTTGACTTACTAGGCCTACCTGCTATCCCTAATCACCCCAGCCTTATAACACAAGTTGCTAAGTAGACTTACTGAGTCAGGAGATCCTCCAAGTACAGAAACTTCAGATAGGCCTCAACATCTAGGCTTTGATTCACAACCATCCCTACAGCCCCATGTAATTATACACTCAGAGCCCATCTCATTTTTCATTCTCTTGCCCATTTGATGTTCCATTTTTGGGTCAAATCCCTAATCCCTAATGAGCAAACCCAGGTTCACGTGGCAGGGACCAACCGGGCCTCATAACGACCCCACCTCATATGGTGCTTCATGTACCCATGTAGAAGATGGTTCCACGATATCAAAACAGAAAGGCCAGAGGAATGGCCTTCTTCCAAAACTGGAGTTCGATGTTTATCTAGGGTTTAGGGTTTAGGGTTCAGAGTTTAGCGTTTAGAGTTTAGGGTGTAGGCCTTATGGCACCAACTACAAGATGACGTGCGATACTTAGCACAAAAGAGAAGCCGCATGCTGGATCCTCGAACAAATGTGGCTTAGGGTGTAGAGATTTTAGGGTTCAGGATTTAGAGGTTTTCTTTGTGTTTACTCAGGTGAGGCTGACTGGGTGTCAGCAGTCATAGGGCCAGTCTCGCGGAATCGACGGCTTTAGGTTCAAGGGCTACAGGGTTTAGGGTTTAGGGCTCCAGCATGTAGAGGACACAATGTAGACGCCTGAATGGTTTCCAATGGTATGGTCCCAGTTCCTTTCAGCATGTATACTACACCCTAAACCCTAAACCCTAATCCCTAACCCCCACAATGGTACCATAAATTCATGTTCTCATTATGGTGTAGGATACCTGAAAGGCCCTGAAACTGTTCTTGGTCAACGCCGTGGGCCGTCAATCTGACCCCTTGACCCCCAGTTAGGGTTTGGGGTGTAGGTCTTAGGGTTTAGACTTTATAGGGCTGAGAGTTTAGGGCCTAGGGTTCAGAGTTTACAGGGTTTAGGGTTCGGGGCTCCAAAGCCCTGAACCCTAAACCCGGGTTTTTGGCTGTGTGCCAGGATCCCAAATGGTCCTCTGCCTGGAACACTTTGCTTTGCGGAAAGAAGCTGGGACCTCGGGGGCAGCAAGCTTATAATCAAACTATATATTAGGGATAGTATAGGGATTATATTGGGATGATGGAAAATAAAATGGACACTACTATGGTATAATAGGGTATATAGATGTTGAGCAAGTCTGTGTGGTATTAGGGGACTTCCCTGGATGGATATAGGACGCCTCTGATTTCATCTACGTTCGTATTGCCAGAATAGACAAGTCTCCATGTTGCTTTCCCGGCTTCTGGAAACGTCCATTCCCTAAACCCTAAACCCTAAACCCAAACCCTAAACCCTAAACACCCCTAAGCCCTAAACCTAAACACCCCTAAACCCTAAACCCCAATCATGGCGCGGTTCCGAGGTTGGTCAAGATGGGCCTCGACTTAGGAAACTGCGGCCCTCTAAAGTCATAGGAAGCCACCGGGGCCGATTCTCTGACCAGTTCATATGGGAGGATTCCAACACATATAGTCCCCCTTAAGTAGATAGAACATGGCTTTGGGTATATGATAATAAGATCCCCATATTCCCCAGATTCTATCTGCTGAAGGGGGACTATAGGCGTTAAGGGTTAGGGGTTTACGGCTTAGGGTCCCCGAAAGAGCTGACTATTGAGATTCTTGGTTTCCAGCCAGAATAGGGCAGTGGTTGTGCTTCTGTACACGGTTTACATGCGGTGGAATCAAGTTGCCGGGACGACCTGTAACTGGACTGCTTCCTTACCTTCCTCTTATAATAAAACCCTAGCCGAAGCAACCTGAAACCTTGTACTGCGTTGGTACATATGAGCTATAGCCTAAACGCCTTAAAGGGGGTACTGTAGGGGATCATATAGGAGACTACTATAGGGATATTAAGGGGGGATACTAGGAGTTTAGATTATGGCTCATATGTATTTGCAGATTTGTATATGTTTGCGTATACATGGGAGGGTACCACATTCGCAGCATTCATTACCGCACGGCGGGCCATAGGTGCTATGGCCTCTACTGCCCTAGCCATGGGTCTAGGGTTTAGGATCCAGGGTTTAGGGTTCAGGGTTTAGGGTTCAGGCGTAGGGTTCAGGGCTTAGGGTTGAGGATGGGTCGCTAC